CAGCCTTGCCCAGAAACCTATCTGGGTTCCTGTAGATGAGTCTACAATCTGCACCGATGTCTACCAGTGCCAGCACCAGCTGTACGTTGGTGGGGGACCAGTGGATTACCAATTCCACATGGGGCCTCCTGGTCACCTGGTGTCCCCCTAAGTCAGGCACCTCAGCCAGTTCCCTAATTACACACAAAAGGTGTTATACCTTCACCCATCTGCAAACCGTCCTTGACCCGGAGTGTCTGGGTGGGACTGGGCCAAGCAGCATCATCCTTCTTCTTCTGCATGTTCCAGAATTGCTGCTCTGGGGACAATTGCCTCCACAAAGTTAACAGCACTTCACTGGGTTGCCTATCAATTTTCTTTTGGGCAATCCCAGCCAAAATCAAATCAATCTACATCTGTGTGCAGGTCATCCAGTGGGGCCGTATTTTGTTCCAAGAGATGGTCGCCTGTAGAAGGGAAACCTTCCCCTTTTTAATGGCACAGACTCCCTGGTCCTGCCTACAGCCCTCTGCTTCCCTGAGAGCCACCATGGAAGTAGTCACCTCACATACAGAATGAGGACAGGGGCCGGGGAGCCGAAGGCACTCAGGAGCATAGAGCCCAACACAAGGTCCCTTATGTGGGAGGTAAAGCTTCATCATCTGGCCCTCGGATTTAACACAGACTGCTGCATACACATCTCCCGGATTACTTGCACCAAATCTGGATACAGCTGCCATTACTCACGGTTTCTGGTATTTCTCTGGCATTGTTTCATACCATTCAAATGGCCACCATCAGCCATTCAATTATGGTGTAGTCACCTTGCCCTGTGCTAATAACCATCTGCTCACTAGCAATTACTGATGGAGGAGGGATGAGTCATAATGGAGGCCAACTTTTCCATTTCAGAGACAGAGCGGGTAATACTGTTGGCTTCCTCATCCCAAAGGCAAGGCAACCAGGCAGGTAGGGGTTTTGCCGAGTACTGCTAACACTGTTTAATTACCACAGCTCAGTTGGAGTATAGGCACTGTATGACATGTGCTCTGTCATGGTAGGGGCTCCCCGAGCCCAGCTCTGTGGCCCCAATGGCTGTTCCTGCTCTATTTTCTGATGGACTACTGGGCAAACCCACAATGGATGTTCTTCCTCCTCCGTATCGGACTAAGCAGGGGTCTCTGAGATGGTGGGCCCAAGCCCACACTAATAGCAGCTTCTAATTCTCATTACAAGCTGTGTATCTGGGTCTCCAGGTGCTCTGCTTGTGCCTGGAGGTCCCCTACTCGTGCTGCATCCCACAGGGACTGAATGTGCACCTCCTGTAGTACAGTAAAAAACGCCCATCCAACTCTGCTGGCACAGGCACACTCCTTCTCAGTGCTCTGTGCTTCCAAGTGCTTCAGTGCCTTCTCCAGGCTCACAGGGGACCTGTCCACCACCACCTATGTTTCCACTGGGGCCCATCCTAGCAGCATGACTGCCACCAGATACCACAACCCATGCTGGGGCCACATGGCAGACCTGGGATCACTCAGGGAAGGGCTTGCTCACCTTAGGATCCTACAGACTATGCCAGTTGTTAGGTTCCAACCTGAGCTGGGTTTTGAGGGGAGCTGGTGGACAGGTGGTGGGTGGCTGAAAGAATACTGGAGGGATTGTAGGCAGTTGGGACATGGCTTTATTCTCTCTTCTGTCCGACAGAGTCAGCAGTGCAGTTATTTTACTCAGACATACTGGCTCAAAGCCAGGTATGAGCTCACACAAACAGGTTACATGAAATGGCTACATAATGCCTGGGATTGTGCACCTGCACTCCAAACCTGCTGTGTCATACCATACCGGATGTCTGCCTCGACCTACTCCTGACTGAAGCATAGCCATTTTCCTTACAATAATAAATAGTTTTTGAAAAATGCATAGTTTTCTCTCACTGATGACATGTGGAGACACTGTAAAGGACAAAGGTGGCAAATGCAATTTCCTATGGTCAAGTTAGCTACCTCCAGGGAATTCTCCTGGAGGCACGATTAGTGCCTTGGTTTGCCTTTTTCTATTTCTCTTGGGTGGAAAGTTGTTCCTCATAATCACCACAAGGTGTCAGTAGAGTCAATTGGGCAGAAATCAGAAAAGGCCAATTATTCTAAAATCTTTCTCCTGCAAAGGGAAGAGAAAACACATTTCCTACACAGTCTGAGACACCCTATTTAAAGCATTCTATAGCCTTTCTTTCTCTCTCTCTTCTTTATTTTTTTCTCTTCCCTCCCTTCCTTCCTTTTTTTTTGCTTTTTCTCTTTCCTTCCTTTTTTTCTTTCTCCCTCCTCCTCCTCCTCCTCCTCCTCCTCCTCCTCCTCCGCCGCCGCCTCCTCCTCCTCCACCTCTTCCTCCTCCTCTTCCACCTCCTCCTCCTCCTCCTCCACCTCTTCCTCCTCCTCCTTCTTTCTTTCTCTCATCCTTCCTTTCTTTTTTCAGGGTCTCACTCTGTCCACCAGGCTAGAGTGCAGTGGCAGGATCATGACTCACTAAGCCTCAACCTCCCAGTCTCAGGTGATTTTCCCACCTCAGCCTCCTGAGTAGCTGGGATTACAGGCATGTGTCACCACATCTGGTGAATTAAAAAAAAAATTGTAGCAATAGGGTTTCATCATGTTCCCCAGACTTGTTCCAAACTCCCAGACTCAAGCTATCTGCCCACATCAGCCTCCTAAAGTGCTGGGGTTACAGGCGTGAGCCACTGTGCCTGGCCCAGACTTTCTTGAAGAAATGAAAGATATGATGAGTATAATCAGGTTCCAAATCCTAGTGATGTATTGGGGTTGATGTTCATTTTAGACATAGAGTATGGAAGTGAAAGGGGAAGGAAAGTTGGACTATGGAAGTGAAACCAAAGGGAAGTAAACAGGCAATAAAACTCCAGTTCACTGAGCATCTTTCATGTGCCAGATATAATGGTAACTGCTTTGTAAAGGTTATCTCAATACAAGTTCTATCTTAAGGTAGGTGTCATTCTTATTTGACTTGGGCTGGAGAGGCATTGCTACTTGAAAAAAGAGATATCAATGACTGACATGGCAGTGAGGTTGAGCCTAGGACAAAAAGTGGCTTTGAGGGTTGCCTAAAGGGCTGGATCCCTTCCCTGATAAACGAGTCAAAGCTGAAGAGATAGCCGGGGGAACTTCAAAGACCAGAAGTGTGACTGGATAATCAGTAAAACTTCTGGTATCCAGAGTGCTGTGGTGGTGAAGATATGGTGGCCGGGATGAGGAACAAAGCTGGAGTGTGAGTACAGTAGATGAATATACCAATTGTGGATTCTGGGTCACAGTTCTCTCCTGTGGCAGAAGGTGGCACCATATGATTGATGGGGGGAGGTGGATTTTCAAAGAAAGGACTCTCTCTCTCTGTCTCACTCTCACTTGCTCTCTCTCCCCACCCAACACATGCACCCAAACACATGTGTTTATCCCATACATTCTTTTAGTCAGAAGAAGGTATGCTTTACTCTGTGTTCAAATAGTTAGTGCCCTGTATACATCCCTAATTTCACTGTCATATCTGGTATGTGATAAGTATCAATAAGTATCAATAAAAGCTGAATGTCCACGATAGGTAAATAAATAAAAGAAATGGGGTGCAAAGGACAGGGAGAAGCCATAATAAAACATATTTTGAAGATAAAGCTAAAAATCAAAGAATCTGACAGTCCAGTTTTAGACTGGAAAAAACCAGCAGAGAAACTGTCTGGGTATCAAAATATCTGATACAGTGAGTATGACCCCTGCTATAGTGGTTTAGAGCAGAGAAACATGACCAGATCTTTCAAAGAAATGGAGCTCATGTAAAATTGAAATACTTTTCTATGTGTGTGTGTGTGTGTGTGTGTGTGTGTGCATGTGCACATGCGCATATGCTGAGACTTAACATTTATACACAAACAATTGGTCTTTTCTGAAATAAGAAAATAAGAATGAACTGGTTGTTGCTTTGTAACAGATAAACATTCCTGGTTAGCTTCTGTTCACTCATTAGTTTGGTTTGAATATTTGGTGGGGAGAAAATGGAGTTCAAATTTGGGTTTATGTCTGTCATAATGGACTTACTCTGTGTTTAAAGAAAAAAACAACAAAATAAGAATTAAAACAAAACATGCACTCAAAGATTTTATTTTGAAGCCAGCTACTTCCATACACCCCGAGGCTTCATCATACGGGACTTGCCTTTATACACTAATGAGTAAAATACATGACATAACATACTGGCACCCATGACGAAGGCATCTAAACTCCACAACAAATCAGCTAACTCCTGTTCACAATTCAGGGCTTAAAAAAACGTTGTATCCTTTGCTTCATTGTGTTTTTTGAATGATCATCCTGCCTAGTTTCCTGGGAAATGTCTATGACTGTTTGGCTAGTCTTGTAAATGGTAATTTACAGGCCTGTGCCTTTGCTGGGTCAATGTCAGGCTAATCAAGAGATCCCCAATGAACACATATCTTAAATGATAGTGAAATAATTTTTTTACTTTACTTTATTTAGCTTATTTATTTACTTTAGTTCATTACTTTAAAAGCTTATGTTTAGGAAACTTAAGTTTGCTTTTTGATAATGGTTAGGTTTTTGTGTTATCATAAAAATCAACTTTCCAATGAATATTTATCCTTTTTTCCTAAGAAGTCAATAGTTCTTCATATCCAGGGTCATGAGTCATCTTTGAGGGCATGCCAGAATTACTGACATAACTGTGAGGTAGGAAATGCACACTCTGGAAGAGACAAAGTATGTTAGATCTTCAGGCTTCATTCAGGTTCAAGATAGATGTACATATACCATTTTCCCAACTATACACATAGAATCTTAGCTAATCCAAGGTAAGTAGAGCAGATCACTGGGCTCTTCAAATAATTGCAATCTGTCACCCTAGTATTCATTCTATTCTCTCTAGTAAAATTTTGGAGAAATCAAGGCTTTTGAATTCAGTTAAATAAAGCCATGAGTCCATAGGAGTGGTATCCTATGGAATTTGATTCAACAATACATGTTTAATATATCTTTTAAGAGGAAAAAGAATTTTAAGATCACTAGGAGGAAAAGCAGAGCATAAGACATTCACTGGAACTAGTCACATGTGTAAATGCCCTTTACTGAGTAAATATTAATCAGGAGACTAGTGGTTGTGGCAGAAATTGTTTCCACTTAGGAGGGAGGCAAGCCGGGTTCTAGAGTCCTCAGCACAGGCACGAACTGATAGCATAATGCCAGGCAAGCCAGGCAAGTCATTTGACTTCCCAGAGTCTCACTCCCTCCATTGACAAAAACGGAAGATGGAACCAGTTGATTTCTCATGTTTAACTATTTTCATATCCAGTGAACTCTCAGCTTGTCAGCTACTCAACTGCCATCTGCTTTCCTTCTCTGCCTTCCATTACCAGAAAAATGACCTTCCATGTGTTTTTCATGGCTGGCTGATATTCCTTCTATTACACTTTATTTTTCATATATATATATATATATATTTTATTGCATTTTAGATTCTGGGTTACATGTAAAGAACATGCAGGACTGTTGCATAGGTACATACATGGCAATGTGGTTTGCTGCCTCCATCCCCATCATCTATATCTGGCATTTCTCCCCATGCTATCCCTCCCCAACTCCCCATCCCCCACTGTCCCTCCCCTAGTTCCCCCCCAACAGACCCCAGTGTGTGATGCTCCCCTCCCCGTGTCCATGTGTTCTCATTCTTCAACACCTGCCTATGAGTGAGAACATGTGGTGTTTCATTTTCTGTTCTTGTGTCAGTTGGCAGAGAATGATGGTTTCCAGATTCATCCATGTCCCTACAAAGGACATGAACTCATCATTTTTTATGGCTGCACAGTATTTCATGGTGTATATGTGTCATATTTTCCCTGTCCAGTCTATCATCGATGGGCATTTGGGTTGGTTCCAAGTCTTGCTATTGTAAAAAGTTCTGCAATGAACATACATGTGCATATGTCCTTATAATAGAATGATTTATAATCATTTGGATATATACCCAGTAATGGGATTGCTGGTTCAAATGGAATTTCTATTTCTAGGTCCTTGAGGAATTGACACACTGTCTTCCACATGGTTGAACTAATTTACACTCCCACCAACAGTGTAAAAGTGATCCTATTTCTCCACATCCTCTCCAGCATCTGTTGTCTCCAGATTTTTTAATGATCACCATTCTAACTGATGTGAGATGGTATCTCAATGTGGTTTTGATTTGCATCTCTCTAATGACCAGTGATGATGACCATTTTTTCATATGTTTGTTGGCCTTTTCTATGTCTTCTTTTGTAAAGTGTCTGTTCATATCCTTTGCCCACTTTTGAATTGGTTTGTTTGGTTTTTTTTCTTGTAAATCTGTTTTAGTTCTTTGTAGATTTTGGATATAAGCCCTTTGTCAAACAATCCTTCCACTACTCTTGGTGACATAGCTAGCTCTACACAGTGTAGAGATAAGATACACCTAGACAAGATTATGTGAGGCCAGCCAGCACACTCACCCCTGAGAAGTCAAAGTGAGCCTGTTTCCACCGCAGCACAGAAGTGAGCACAGCCAGGCAGAATTCTAGCACAGTACAAATCAGCATCAGAGACAGAGTTCCCTGAAAGTCAAGAAATAAAAAAATTGGTGGCGCTTGGGTCAGCCGAAGCCTTCACACCTGGTTGAGAGGTGACCGTAGAGATGAAGACCACCTCAACCGTTAGAGAATGAAGTAAGGACACCATCAGGAAAACAAAACTGCTCTTCACACACCTCACAATTGTCTAAATTCAGCTCCTTCACTCATTCACTTCCTTGAGAGGAGAAAGGGAGATGAGTAGTAAGTAAATCAACTAATCCACTTCATATACTTCCTTCTGACTTCTTTGAGACATCAATAGTTCTGAGGACATTGTCCAGTTGGTAAGAAAGCCGCGTGGTGCGGTAACTCCCAGGACTGAGAATCAGCAGCTCCAATTCTCGCCTCACCTTTACTGCTTAGTAGCTGAGTAAGCCTGGACAAGTCTCTCTCTTTCTCTAGCTCCTGTTTCCTTATGCATGAAATATGCAAAGCAACATTTCTTTCTCAGAGATTTGTGAGGATCAAGGAGGTTTTGACTGTGTAAGTCCTTCCTAAAATTCAGTATCGACATCCCCATCTATGTGTCTATGTGTCTAGGTATCTGAACCCCTTTGGATTTGTTCTTGATTTTTGTTGTTTTGTTCTTTTTTTTTTTTTTGGTGGATGGAAGCGTTAGAAAAAACAACGAAGGTAGTTAACTGTCAGAGTTGCTAATCACCAACGGCAACTCAAAAGGATAGGTTCTACTATTTCCATCCTGAGACATTTGTTGGGCAGAACTGGCCATCTGATAATAAAAGAAAATAATTTGACCACATGAACTTTTATTTTTTATTTTTTTAAATTGCATTTAGGTTTTGGGGTACATGTGCAGAACATGCAAGACATTTGCATAGGTACACACATGGCAGTGTGCTTTGCTGCCTTCCTCCCCTTCACCCACATTTGGCATTTCTCCCCAGGCTATCCCTCCCCAGCTCCCCCGTGCCACTGTCCCTCTCCTATTCCCCCCAATAAACCCCAGTGTTTGGTACTCCCTTCCCTGTGTCCATGTGTTCTCATTTTTCATCACCCACCTATGAGTGAGAATATGCAGTATTTCATTTTCTGTTCTTGTGTCAGTTTGTTGAGAATGATGTTCTCCAGATTCATCCACGTCCCTACAAATGACACGAACTCATCATTTTTGATTGCTGCATAATATTCCATGGTGTATATGTGCCACATTTCCCAATCCAATCTATACCTAGAGGGGCAATTTAGCTTCTAGCTCTACAGCTGAATTATAGAAAACGTGGTTCCTCAGGACACTTTGCTGTCATCTGCTGGGCAGTTGTGAAAAGTACACAAAAAGTGGTTGGAGAGGGTGTTCTGTGTGTGCGTGTGTTTGTGTAAATCCATGCACATCCAACTATAAGAAAACATATGGATCATTTAGCACTATCTAAGATATGAAGAATTGAGATGCAAAATTCCCTCCACATCTTTTCTTTGGTCTAGCAAGAGTGGTACCAGAAAGCCACTCTGGTGGTCTTGAGGATTCTAGGTCTGCCTGTGTGCAAGTTTTGCAGGGAGGGAGTAAGGAGGGTGTTCAGCTATGGAAGGGTGGTCTAGCTCTATCATCTACGAAGGTGAGGCAGGGAACGATGGAAGAGGAAGAAAGGAAGCTCATAAATCTTTTTTTATGTTAAAAATAAACTACAATTTATTTAATTAAGCATAAAGTTACTTTCGCATTTGTCTACAACCACAGTAGACCTGGTGTCCTGGTGGAGGAAACATCATCCTACGATCCTGTTCCCACCGAGGTGACAGGAACCCAGTGTCAGAAGGAGCCCTGTGAAGATCTGGTAACCTACCACAGGTTGATTCTCCTCTTTCATTTGTACTCTGATGATGCAGAGGATTCCCTGGGCCTCTTGAGCCTCTTCCTTTCCCCACGGGAAGCAAAGGTGAGAGTCTGAGTGGACCCTCCAACAAAGTTGGAGGACAGAGAAAAGCTCTCATTTCACATGAAGGTCCACCCATTGGTGAGGGACCATACGGGGAATGTTCTCTGCCAAACGCCCTATTTGGAACATCAAATGCATCAGGATCTTTTGCTAAGAGTTTAAATTTAAACTCTATTTCAGTTAATTTTTGTCTGCTGTGAGCATTTTCTTTCCTTAAATCATTGAGGTTTCCCTCAGCAGTCTGAGCAGCCAACCAATTACGATGCGCTTTTTTCTCATAGGCAGTAGCCCACCGCTGATAGTAATGAGTAGTTCTCTTGAATTCTTCTTCAAGATCTTTGGCTCGCTTTCTACAGGTCTCCAGCTCCTCAGCGGCATGGACAATCTTTTTGTCCACTTTAGAAAGTTTCTCTTCTTTCTTTAACCGGCTGTTCTCCTGTAGTGTTAATTTCCTATAGAGTCTCATTTCATTTTCTTGATAGAATTGAGTCATTATTTTAAGTTTCTGTTGAAGCTTCTGATTCTTACTTTCTAAATGTGTATTTTCTGACTGCAAAGATGCTTGTTGAGTCTGAAGATTTTTAATACACTGTGTAAGCTCTTCCTTTGTTTTTTCAACTTCAGATAACTGAAAATCAATTTGGTTTCTTTCTCCTTCCAAGATTTTTAAAGAAGCGTTTAACTTAGCATTATGAATCAGTTTCTTCAAAGCTCCTTTTGGAGGATGATCTAAGTTAGCACCATCTTCTGATTCGGTGTTCATTGCTAATTTCAAGTTCTCCTCTTCCATTATGTCTTCTCCAAGCACAGCAGCCCAGTCTTTCATCTTCAGCAAGCGTTCAGTCAGAGTCTCGATGTGAGTGTCTTTATCGTTTAGAACTTGCTCTGCGTGTACTCTGGAGTCTTCCAATGTTATTTTCTGCTTATTAAGTTCACTCACTTGTTCTTTCCATACTTCAACTTCTTGCAAAAGCTCTTTCTGGCTTTCCTGAAGTTGAGAATTTTCATTCAAGGCATCTTTTATTGCTATCTTCAGTCGTTCTTCATTCATTTGAGATATCTTGAAGATGATTTTGGCTTCAGCTACTTGTGATTTGAGGGATTTTGACTCATCTTCTAGAGACTGTATCGTTTTTGAAATATCCGCCATCAGTTGCTTTTGTTCAGAACGTTTTGATTTCTGTTCCTTTAACTCTTTTTTGAGACCAAGTATCTCATCCTTAAGTTCATCATTGGACCTGCTCAGCTTTTCACATGTTGCCTCCAAACTTCGTGCTTCTGCTGCCTCCTCCTCAAAGCTGGCCTCCTTTAAAGATGTCTCTACTTCACAGCCTTCATGCTCTTTTTTAATGAGGGTAAGGTTTTCAAGTAGTTTACCTTTTTTGTCAATTAGTTCAGAAAGCTCACTGGCAAGCTTTTTCTCTCTTCTCACATAAAGCCGACTCCTAACCGATCTCAAACTTCTCCACAAAAAAATGGGAACAGCAAAAAATCCAACAATAGCTGCCCATATCACGAATTCCCATGGAAACCCATAAGAATTAGAATCTGCTGTCATATTTTGAGGCAGTGCTGCCACAACCCTGCGTAGCTCCACCAGGACCAACCCTAAGTAGGGCTGAGAGGTAGACCTGGGCTCTGCACAGCGCTAAGGCTGCTCTGGCAATCGCCACAGCAACTGGGGAAACAATAAGCAGAGGAGAACACGCAGCCTTCCATTTGGAACCCAAATCCACCGGAGCAGACCACTGCAGAGCTGGCTGTGGGGGGAGCTAGGCACACATAAGCCTCAGAGGCCCAAACTGCCCACCCCACCCCCTTGTTATACTTTACATCCTGAGGCAGCACTAAAACCTATATTTTATTTTATTTTTATTGCATTTTAGGTTTTGGGGTACATGTGAAGAACATGCAAGATAGTTGCATAGGTAGACACGTGGCAGTGTGATTTGCTGCCTTCCTCCCCTTCACCTATATCTGGCATTTCTCCCCATGCTATATCTCCCCAACTCCCACCCCCCACTATCCCTCTCCTATCCCCCCCAACAGACCCCAGTGTACAGTGCTCCCCTTCCTGTGTCCATGTGTTCTCATTGTTCAACACCCACCTATGAGTGAGAACATGCGGTGTTTCATTTTCTGTTCTTCCGTCACTTTGCGAGAATGATGTTCTCCAGGTTCATCCATGTCCCTACAAAGGACATGAACTCATCGTTTTTGATTGCTGCATAATATTCCATGGTGTATATGTGCCACATTTTCCCTGTCCAGTCTATCATCGATAGGCATTTGGGTTGATTCCAGGTCTTTGCTATTGTAAATAGTGCTGCAATGAACATTCGTGTGCATGTGTCCTTATAGTAGAATGCTTTATAGTCCTTTGGATATATACCCAGTAATGGGATTGCTGAGTCAAATGGAATTTCTATTTCTAGGTCCTTAAGGAATCGCCACAGTCTTCCACAATGGTTGAACTAATTTACACTCCCACAAGCAGTGTAGAAGTGTTCCTATTTCTCCACATCCACTCCAGCATCTGTTGTCTTCAGATTTTTTAATGATCGCCATTCTAACTGGTGTGTGATGGTATCTCAGTGTAGTTTTGATTTGCATCTCTCTGATGACCAGTGATGATGAGCATTTTTTCATATGATTGTTGGCCTCATATATGTCTTCTTTTGTCAAGTGTCTATTTATATCCTTTGCCCACTTTTGAATGGGCTTCTTTGGTTTTTTTTCTTTAAATCTGTTTGAGTTCTTTTAAATTCTGGATGTCAGCCCTTTGTCAGATGGGTAAACTGCAAAAGTTTTTTCCCATTCTGTTGGTTGCTGATTCACTCTCACGACTGCTTCTTTTGCCGTGCAGAAGTTGTAGAGTTTGATTAGGTCCCATTTGTCTATTTTGGCTTTTGCTGCCAATGCTTTTGGTGTTTTGTTCATGAAGTCCTTGCCTATTCCTATGTCCTGAATGGTTTTGCCTAGATTTTCTTCTAGGATTTTTATGGTGCCAGGTCTTATGTTTAAGTCTTTAATCCATCTGGAGTAAATTTTAGTGTAAGGTGTCAGGAAGGGGTCCAGTTTCTGCTTTCTGCACATAGCTAGCCAGTTTTCCCAACAGCATTTATTAAACAGGGAATCCTTTCCCCATTGCTTGTTTTTGTCAGGTTTATCAAAGATTGTATGGTTGTAGATGTGTTGTGTTGCCTCCGAGGCCTCTGTTCTGTTCCATTGGTCTATATCTCTGTTTTGGTACCAGTACCATGCTATTTTAATTACTGTACCCTTGTAGTATAGTTTGAAGTCCGGTAGTGTGATGCCTCCTGCTGTGTTCTTTTTGCTTAGAATTGACTTGGCTATGCGGGCTCTCTTTTGGTTCCATATGAAGTTTAAGGTGTTTCTTTCCAGTTCTGTGAAGAAGCTCATTGGTAGCTTGATGGGGATAGCATTGATTATGTAAATTACTTTGGGCAGTATGGCCATTTCATGATATTAATTCTTCCTAACCATGAACATGGAATGTTTCTCCATCTGTTTGTGTCCTCTCTTATTTTGTTGAGTAGTGGTTTGTAGTTTTCCTTGAAGAGGTCCCTTACCGTTCCTTGTGAGTTGTATTCCTAGGTATTTTATTCTTTTTGTAGCAATTGTGAATGGCAGTTCATGAACTTTTGTGTTGTGGTATTTACACATAGTTAAAGAGAAGATACAACTTGTTTCCATTCCTTGGAAATAGTTCCAGCAAGCAAGATCAACAGAATCTCTCTTATTTCCAATGTAAAATTGTCTCATTATGGATTTATACTTTATCACTTCCAAATTTCTCCAAAATTTCTCTTCAGAATTTTTCCCAAGGTGGAATTGGCTGTGCCATGTGTTAATTTGTACTAATTACTGTCAGCCTCATTTACTTGTACTTTTTCTCATTATACCAGTACCTTGAGAGCAAGGTCCACTTTATAATGAGTGCTGTACCAGCGTGTCTGTGACCAGACCTTTCTATCCATCCATCTTCCTGCTGAGTTCTTGGCTTATCTCATTTATGTGATTACAGGACAGTAAATATTCTGCAACTGCTTTACTCTTATGCTTTTCTCACAATGTGTTGCAGACCATGCACATGCTCCTTAGTTTTTCAACTTCAGACATATTATTTCTGTCAGCCAAATTTCATTATTTTTCTTCTTCCAAAGAGATTGAATTCTCCTGCAATCATTCAGTTACACTCTCTGTCTCCCTCTATTTCTTATCTCCTGATTTAATATATCATACTTCTTTCAGCTATAACAAAAAGCAACAATAATGTTGCATTCTCACCGGATCAGTATTATTTATTATTGTGATCATTAGGATAAGCCCTTACCTTCTAACCCCATATTTCCTATTCTCTTTTTCTCAGTTTCGAGTCTGGTGTCTTCTCAGACAAAATAAACTCCTTACCACACACACATACTAGGTTTCCTTGTTGGCATATTCTTTCTGCTCTGTTTCCATTCTTAATCCACCATTCCGTGTACCAAGATTCTCAATTTGACAAACTCATATTTTATGCCTCCAAAATTGGATTAGTTTGATAATCAAGAAACTCTACAAACAATAAATTAAAAGTTTTTCATCGTCAACCTTATTTAACATTTTCAATTATACTCTATTAGTAGGTAATCCTCTTAATCTCAACCATGTAGTCCCCTTAGATTTACATAACCCTGGCCTTCCCCCATATGCCCAAACCAGAACAAACAGATTTTCAAAAGAAGGAATAACAAGAAATCAAGGCTTTTGAACACCTCATGAAATTAGAACGTCCCATCTAAAAATACTTACAGTCAGACTGGCTTTGGCTGCATAGCAGTCCCTGATATTAACTGGATCATAATGGTAACTTCTGGTTGGTATATTATTTTTGTCCAACTCACACTGCAATAAGGCAGGATTTAAGGCAGCCAAGTTGACAGACAGGAGAATGAAACCCACCAGAGCAGACAGAGCACTCAGAATGCTTCCAGCCTGGCTGCTGTGCACCTAAAAGAGAAATGCTGGGTAAGGATCATTGCTAATGAGCCAGATTCTCTCTTATACATCTTTGCCATTAAATTGTAAGTTACTCCCTTATGTGTCTCCTCAGCAGGTCTGGGATTGATCATTTATTGCTATATGCCTCTCCAGTGTCCAGCAAAAATCTCAAATTCTCCAAGGTAAATCTTGGCTGAATGAATGAATATATGAACTGGTTCCCCTTAAGTGGGACCTCGGTGATGTGGTAGAGAATGTTACTCTTCCTAAATTCTTTCTCTGGGATAGATAGCAGGGCCTGCATGAGACTTTGCTTGCAACATTACCAACAGAGCATGACCCAAAGCAAAGGTGGCAATGTACCAGATGCAGTTTCTCTCTTGCTCAACTCAGAAACCCCTGGTGGAAGCATCAGCCACATGGAAAAAGTAGATAATGTATTAGCATGGTGCAAAAGTAATTGTGGTTTTTGCCATATGTGAAAAACCACAATTATGTTTGCATCAACCTAATAGTTCACGCTTGCGTGCCCACTGCCTCTCTCAAAAGCACACTTCTCAAGGATGAGTGAGGGGGTGGTTCTGAGTCTCAGGCAGGCCCCGGAACCTGGGTGGGCATATGATTGGCCACATAGAGGGCAGCATGGGATGGCTGTAGACAGGGTACTAGGTGCAGGCCCAAGGATGGTGTAACATGTGGGAGGCAGCGGGAAGTAGAAAAGAAAGGTCCAGACTGCAGGTCAGAATTTTGAGGTCACAGTACTAGACTTGTCTCAGCTTATTCCCTTGGATACTCAATTCCTTGGTTTTATTTCTCACTCTGGTTCTCACTTCTACATTGATGAAGTGAAGGGAATAAATAAACTTCTCAGAAGTGACTTCCTGTCTACTCCAACTCACACGGAAAAGAGAATTGAGCTAAGAGCATTCTGAACGCTATAGTTATAGGTAGGCAGGCTCCAGGGCACACCCCACAGCTGTACAGTACAGTGATAGGTAATCCCACATGGGCACTTCTTCTTTTAGGAACTCACCAGTTAATGCTTTGGGACCCCGATTTCCCAACACAACGACTAAAGTGTATACTCCTGGGGCTCCTAGTAGCCAGTGGTAGTCCCGATGCCCAGAGTATATATTTCTTAGAATAAGCCAGATTCGCCTTGAGATGGCGATCTCTTCTGCAATCTCAGAAAGGGCTGGTACAAAGTGTGACAAGAGGAGAGCTCACTAAAACCTGGAAGTCTCTAGTGAGTCTGAGCCCACCCTGAGACCACATCCTGCATCCTTGAGCTTCCTGCATATTCACTGTGGGATTGTCCTTTGGGGAAGAGGCCCAGATATTTCCTCCTAGAAGTTTGAAAACACTACCCTTGTGCCAGGCTATGCTCAGTATGATTGCCAATAGCCGCACTGACTATATATAGTTAAGGAAAATTAAGTGAAATTTTTATTCAGTTGCACTATCTATATTTCACACCATTGATAGCCACATGTGATGGCAATATTGTACAGTACAACTGTAGTGCATTTTCATTATTATAGAAGGTTACATTTCATTTACATCATCATAGAAAGTTACATTGAACGGCACAGATCTAGTCCGTAGTAGGGAGTCTAACTGAGGGTTCCGAATAATGATATCTAAATACCGATGGGAAAAAGAAAGAATTGGCATTTTTTTCTGAGCACTCTCTCTCACTTCCTTGCTTCCTTTGGGAGACGTTCACGGCCAGAGATTTCAAATTGAGTTTCTGTGCAATTGCATTATATGACATTCTCTCACATAATCTCCAACATCAACCCCTTGAGGGATAACAGATTGATTGAAGACTTAATTAAACTTTAAAGACAAGAAAAGCTCCCCATAATCCAGCCTTTCTCTCTCTGCCATTTCCAACTCTAGTTTTTGCTGGAATAAGAGATTAAAAACAGGTAAAGCTTATTTTTCTTTTCTTAGCCAATACAAATGAGTAAGGACAACTTTTTAGGGTGAGAGAATTTATATGCAAACAAAATAATACTTCTGGTGAGGTCGATGAAAGAATACACTCAGCCAGCACTACCCAAAATTATTGAAGTCCTCAAGGAAAAGGAAAATCTGAGAAAGTCTAGAGGAGCCTGAGGAGACATCATCACTAAATGTAATGGAGTGTAATGTAGCAGCCTCTGTGTATAATGTAGTAGCCTACTTTGGATATTTCACAGGACCAACACTTCAACTCATTTTTTTCAAAGGTTGTAACACCTGGGCTTACACAGTGAAACCCAACAAATAGACCTCTTTATAACACTGTCAGCTTCCTTGCCATTGGAAACCTGAATTTGAAGGCCAATGATCACAAAAGGACATCATAAACAAGCACAATTTTTCTGTGACACATTCTTTGGCATGGGCAGAGGGAATACCTTAATTCTCTGAATGCCGACTTTGATGTAGGATACAATAATTGGAGAAATGTGCTCTGAACAAGGATACAGGGGATCCAGGCCCAGCTCCTAATTCTAACAACAAACTGCTCTGGAACTGAGTTTTCAGCTTTTGAAAGTAGGAAGACTGGCCTTAATGAGTCCTAAGTTTTCTTTTGATCCGTTTGGTTGTGGGTTATAGTTCTCAAACTCACCAAACAGGTGGTTAACCGTTTCTGTGTGGTGATTGACACAGAGCCAGCGATGATAAACTAAGATAAAAGAGAAAATAATCAGGTCAGTTTTTATGTGCAGAGTAACTGTGATGTCACTATCACAACGTTCACAGAAAACTGTTGTGGGAAAGACTATCATGAATCAATGAGGTAAGATCCATTTAAAGACATAGATTTGTCCCTTTTTCCCATATAACATTCAGATAGTATCAGAAAAAAAAAGATAGCAGAAATATATCCCAATAAACAAAATGAAGACCTTAAAAACCAGGAAATAATTTTTGTTTTCTTAATAAAAATGAGGCAATTTTGGTGTAAGATGTTCTCTAGAAAAGAATATGAAAGCAATAGTATTAAAAGAGAAAAGAATTGGGAGAATCATGTGGTTTTTGTCCTTCATTATATTGATGTGATATATCACATTTATTGATTTATATAGGTGTCGAGAAACATTAAGTTTACCCTGCCCCCCATAGCTCCCTTGCGGAGAATGCCTTTTAGTTTGCAATTAGTGGGAGGTGGGTAACAGCTGCCTACTTGGTATATTTTTGAGTTACGAGTAAATTCAGAACACTTGTTTGTTAATAAGAATCACCTGTCTAAGAGAGACTAAATACATGGATGAGGATCTGCTCAGGGCCTTCAGCCTGGAATGCTGAGGCTCTCAGCTTGAGAGGCTGCTGGCCCCCCACTCCGGTAGATCCACTGTGTTGTTCTATGTGGTTGTCTGCCTCTCATTACCTTCAATGCCGCCTGGGTGGGGTCTCCCAACTAAGCTGGTACTCGGCATGTAGGTTGAACCATTCTTGCGCCTCGGGAATAAATCTCACTTTATCATGGTGAATGATCCTTCTAATATGCGGTTGAATTCAGTTTGCTGGTATTTTGTTGCATATTTTTGCATCAATGTTCATTAGGGATATCGACCTATAGTTTTCTTGTAATGTTCTTGTCTGGCTTTGGTATCAGGGTAATGCTGGCCTTATAAAGTGAGTTTGAAAGTATTCCTTCCTCTTCAATGTTTTTGAAGAGATAGAGAAGTGTTGTTATTAGGTTCTTTAAAAGAAAGTAAAAGATGGGAGAAGTTAACAGATATGGGAGGTCACAGACATGGATCTTACATTGCTGGCACCCCAGTTTAAGGTAAAGTGGTCAATGAGAAGAGAAGGAAAGACAAGAATGAATGCAGAAATCCTTCAAGGCTGTGTTTAAAAAATCAGATACCTTGTTTTCATCCTTTAAAGTATTCAAGACCTGATGAATTTAGAGCCATTAAGAAACAGAAAATTCTTTGACAGTTAAAAAAAGGGGGGGCAAAATCTGAAGAAAAGTTATAATTCCTGTGACCCAGGCATTTAGTTATGTGTCTAAGTAAACAAATGGCAAGTCTTTAAAAAAATGGACTAGATGCCTCTCCAACGGTGGACCGTGCTTAGTGACTTGCTTTGAAAGAGTATAGAAAGAGGAGAAAAAAAAGTAGTAATTTTACAGAGGACAAACCTGGAAAATACTACCCTGACCACATGATTAACGTTAATTGTGTCGATGACATTATGATGGTAGCGTGACCCTTGCTACAACTTGATGAAATGGTGCTTTACCTAGTCCAAACATCAAAAAAATCAGACAAACCCAAATTTAGGAACATTCTATACAAATCTCAGCCAGCACTACCCAAAACTATCGAAGTCCTCAAGGAAAAGGAAAATCTGAGAAAGCCTAGAGGAGCCCGAGAAATCATCACGGTGAAATGTAACAGTGTAATGCAGTAGCCTTGCATGGATCTTGGAATCGAAAGAGGTCATTTGGGGAAAACTGGTGAAATCCAAATCCAAGTGTAAGTTTAGTTAATAAGAGAAGAAGGCCGGGCGCGGTGGCTCACACCTGTAATCCCAGCACTTTGGGAGGCCGAGGCGGGTGGATCACGAGGTCAAGAGATCGAGACCATCCTGGTCAACATGGTGAAACCCCGTCTCTACTAAAAATACAAAAAATTAGCTGGGCATGGTGGCACGTGCCTGTAGTCCCAGCTACTCAGGAGGCTGAGGCAGGAGAATTGCCTGAACCCAGGAGGTGGAGGTTGCGGTGAGCTGAGATTGTACCATTGCACTCCAGCCTGGGTAACAAGAGCGAAACTCCATCTCAAAAAAAAAGAGGAAAGATGGACAATGGACAAGACACATGAAAAGGTGGACTTCTTTGTGCATCAAATAAGCAAATGTAAGAAAAACAAATAGCTACTGAATTGAAGGAAAAATAATCTATGAAAGAGAAGCTTAATTATGAGAAAGGCTCAATCTAAGAGAAAGCAGTTCTCTGAGAGAAGGACCATTAAGTCCTTTTGAAACCCCAGACCTGCAGCTATTTCAGAGGAATTTCCAGTCCATCACTGGGGCGTAGATATCTACTCAGCCTTCCCTGGGAATCAGTCAATGCAGTAAAAGTATTTTCAAAATGCTCAGCAATGTAAGTTCTCCTTCCTCCATGATCCCCACAAGCATGGGAGGATCACAGTGTGGTTTCTCTGTGAGTGTATGATGTCTTCCATTGACAATCATTTTTTTTTAAAATAAAATATTCTTTCCCAACTTTATCCTAATTAGTGGATTTTTTTTTTTTTGCCTAAATCTGGGAGAAGTCACTCGCTTCATTATAACTCAAGATGATAAGATGAAAAATAAGATGATTTTCAAGACAAATGCTTATTTGAGTCTGACAAGAAATTGATCTAAAATCAGGCAACTCCTGTGATTCTACCCCACTCAATCCTCCCAGAACTATACACACAGGAGAACAAGTTTCACCATCGACTCCTTGGTCCTGGCAGATCAAACATAGCAATATGGCAGGTGGAAAGTCTAAGCTACTGGCATCTTCCTCCCATCTTCATTCCATTCTGCCCTCCTCAGAAACTCTACTCACACACAAGGGTCCTATGAATGGGTAAGCAGACTTCAGCAGCGTAGAAATCACTTGGCTAAAATTTGGAGAGAAAGACGCAGATGCCAAAATAATCCCCAAGCCCAACACTTTCATGCCACACAAGATCTGGATAGTCTGTGGGAAGAGAAAGGGAAATTGAGGGTTAAACCAGCATTTGTAGAGACAGGGCCTTTTCACCTCTCCCACAGTGCTAATATATTATCACCTTCTGCAAGATCCCAGTGAGGATACAAACCCTGTGGAAACTCTGGAGTGAGAAATATAAAAAGACATCCTGGAGGGTGTGCTGCTCTGCCACAGAAGCCACGGTCTCGGGTGTCCGGCAGGTGCTCAGCAAGGCTTCTGGCATTTCTGCCTCTCAGGCCCTGCTCATGACCCCTGCTCAGGGTCTGCTCATGACCCCTGCTTCCAGCTCACAGCAGCTGCTGGGATCTGCTTTCTCAGCTCTCAGGACCTCTGAGTCCATGACTAGTGGATTGTCTTTCTACCTTTCTGGAGACAGGGGCCCCTGAAAGGCCCACATTCTCTGCAGTATTGGCAGTGCAGAAGTCCCTCCCCTCATCCCCCAGACTCCACTCGACATGGAGCTTGGCCCTCTCTGCTCACCTCCTCGGAAACTGCAGTCCACAACCCTGTCACTGAAGTTCTGGAAGCTCTTTTTTTTTAAACTTTTAAGTTCAAGGGTACAAGTGCAGGTCTTTATATAGGTAAACTTGCATCATGAGAGTTTGTTGTACAGGTTATTTAATCACCCAGGTATTAAGCCTAGTACCCATTAGTTGTTTTTCCTGATCCTCTCCCTCCTCCCAACCCTCCACCCTCCGAAAGGTCCCCGTGTGCACTGTTCCCTTGTACATGTCCATGTGTTCTCATCATTTAGAGGCCATCACCCTTAGCAAAGCAACACAGTAACAGAAACCAATACTACATGTTCTCCTGTATAACTGAAGCTCTGTCTTAGGAGGTAGTTTCCTTCCTGACATACACCTCAGAGATTACAGCTCTATTGTCATTTACCAAGAAGTTTTCTAGACCTTATGTAACACGAGCCTCATAGAAAACCATGATTGTACATGAGGCAAAGGAACCAGTCCCACCAGGTCCTGAAGCCCGGTCAGACAGAGGGCCTCACCTCAGATCATATAAGTGCAGAGGCAATTCTAGAAACCAAAACTCTGTGTTTCCCTCCCAATCCAATACAGATCCCTTCTCTCTCTCCTTCCTTCATGCAATACAGCTTCTTTCATAAATTCTGGATGAGAGGAAAGACAGACAAACCAAAGGTGAATATCATTTCCATTCTCAAAAAGGTAAGGAGAAAAGAGGAAAAGGAGGTGTATTTTTTCTGTGATTTGCAGTGACGGGAAAATTCTTTGCAAAAATCAGTGTGAATCATTAAGCATGCAATTGTGAAATACAGATATAGATATGTATATATATATTATATAATCACATATTATAGGTATGTATATATTTATGTGTGTGTATATATATATATACACACACACACACACACACACACATACATATAATATGTAACTATTTACCACCATTACTTTTGTAAAAGAAAATTAGAGAGGTACTGTATTGTAAAAATACAAAAACAACAACAGAAAATCTATTCTTCATATTTAGAATAAGGGTAAAAAGCATTTTATGACAACCTCTTGTGGAGAAGTTCTGCGACAGTTTTCTCCAAGTGGTTTCTACCCCGGACTTGCTCTGGCAAAAATGAAGGATCTAAGAGTCTCTACACTCACAACAGCTCTCCAGTCCCAAGATACACATCACCTGTTGGAACTTCCCCCGACCCACCTCCAACACGTCCTGAATTAAATTTACCCCAATAACTTTGACTTCTGCCTGTAGACATTTCTTCAGGCTATCCTGCCCCTGGTTGGTGGGTGCAGGTTTCTCTGCTTGGGAGGAGCTGATGGCATTTGATGGGAGCACTATGACGGTCTCATTGGGAACAGGTTGTGACGTCATGATGGTGCTGCCAACTATGGAAGAAAAAACAGATTTAGCTCTTAAAAAGTACGGAGCTCCCTGGTTCTGGCTCCAAAAACTGTAAGTCAGTCTGCCAATTAGTCCAGGCTTAGCCTGTCCCTTAGAGAAAGAAACTGGTAATATAGAACAGTGAAAACCACACGACCTTGGTTTCATGAGGATTTTTCCATAATGTTTGACACAGTCCATTACAGATAATAAACACATCACAGGGTGGAGCAACATCAATTTTGAGAGGTCCAATGTCCAGAGGCAAATGGTCACACAAAATTTGCAAAATGCAACAATCTCTCTTTCCCCAGTGCTACTGACAATGACTGTATCGCCACATCTTTGATGAATTTTCAGACTAATAATGAACTCTGCTTATTTATTTCTTGTCTAATCATACTATTTATTAACATTCATCTTTGATATGTTTATCATATTTTACTAGACATGTCTTTAGTTTATCCTGCAGTTCTTTTAATCCTTACAACAGCTCTGCATCTAAGTTAGTAAAAACATGTAATAAATAAGAAAATTCAAATAAAGTTTAAGTTATGAACACAAATAGTATACATGTTGTATAAATGCATGGCCTAAAATTAATGCTGAAGAAATATTTGCAGCTACCTTTGTAGTTCAACCCTGTTCACACAGCCGGGAAGCTCTAAAGCCAGTCTTGGATCCCAGCTTTCCTTGAGTTTGAAGCTTTTGCATAAATCTCTACATCATTCTACCTCTTCCTACTTTTCCACCTGACAAAGCCAGCCTGTGTCTGAGTTTACTCAGGCTGGAGAAGCAGCTGCAGGCAGTGGTATGAAAACAGGTCTTGGAGTCATCTCACATAGGTTCGCGTCCTGGATCCTCCCCACTTTTTAGCATAAACACCAAGTAGGCTGTGATATTTGTTGCTGAGCTCAGCTTGGATCCCTTTTCACTGCACCATTCTCAGCCCACAGACTGCCTGGTTTACAAATGGTCCAAAAATATTTGAAGAGACTGCCTGGTTTACAAATGGTCTAAAAATATTTGAAGAGACCAGAGCTCTTCTCCCGTTAATTACATAACCTTAGGTAAGTGACTGAGTTCATGCAATAAGAATTCAGCAGAAATAGAGTTAAAAACAGATACTCCTTCCATTTGCCCACTCTATTTTCAAAATGCTCTAGTGTCTCTTAACTGCTGTCGAGGAGTTTCAAGTCAGGTTACTCTTCTAAAGAGGTCACAGCAAGGGAATGGTGAGATGAGATAAGCCTTTCAGCATTACCTACCTGTGCCCGTTGGTTCCAGCTGAGTCCTCAGAAGCTCCCAGGAGGGAGCTGGACACTGTCTGGGTTCTCAGACAGCCCCATCAACGGTCTCTGCTTACCTTCGTCTTCTGAAAGTCATCCGCCCTTCCTTATTCCAGTGTTTGCAGCTATACAGGATGTGATACTTACAGAATGAAGATTTGTGAAATGTGCCTGCACTTCCTTTTCTGTAAACTTCTAGCAACTTCAGAAAAATCATTAAAAGAACCAACTTATGACTGTGAGAATTCATGAGTCACGGAGCTTTATGTCTGAATTGCCACTTTGAGATGTTCAAGTTACCTGTTATTAGGCCAGTCTGGTCTTAGAGCCTCATTTTTTTAATCTGTTAAATAGAGGAGCAATACCAACACTGGAGAATTGTCACAAAGATGAGCAAAAGTATTTATAAAAAGCCTATGCTGCTTTGAGGCATTCAGTACTATGTAACTAATAATAGTAATATTGCTAGTAATCATAATAAGCACAAACAACAATATTCCATTGTATACAACTAACCATAATAATAATAACAGCAATAATGACTATACTGCTTTTAAGGAACATTCAGTAATATATAACTAATAATGATAATATAGAACATAAAAATTTATATAGATGCATATACATGTAGTTTGTTTTTTTCTACCTCAAGCTCTTGGCAAGCTGAAAGCAGCCTTTCCACCCTTATTGCCCAACTGCTGCCTACCCTAAAGTCATCTTCCTCCTCTGGCTACTCTCTTTCTCTGACAACAGATCTTTGGCCTCCGGAAAGGGTGGGCCCTTCTAGGGATGTTTTGAAACCAAGAAAAACAAATGGGAAAGACTCAGCAGGACCTAAATGAATTCAGCAATCTCATATGTGCACTGCTTTTGTGAGGACAGAGCCACTGTGCCCCTTCAAACCCTTGGGTGGCGTTCTCTGGAAGCTGACTTTAATGTATCAGGCAAGGAAACCAGAGCCAGATAGGACAACGGCAAAGCCCCACCCTGCAAGATTCCTTTCCCCCTCTTTTGTGGGGGAGCTGGCAGAGTGAACCCAGAAACACAAACTGAACCCCATCACTGTCACATCAGAGGGCCATGGGTTCTGAACTTAATTCCACACATTAACTCTTCTGTTGAAGAAAGGAGCTACCAAGCACCATTTAGAAGGCTGGATTAGTTCTCAGGGTCTGAATGACATAGACATTACAAAATATAATTGGCTTGTCTTAATTTCTAACACTAAATCTGAGAGGGGGAATGGAGTCACCCAGAAGGCCTAGGGAGATGGGCAGAATCACCTCCAATCTCACTCAACCAAGCTCCTGGTGCCCCTTCCCCCTTCGCAGAATGCCAGCTGTGTTTCCCATGGGTGCCCTGCATCTCTGTCACTGTCATAGCACCCATGAAACAGTGGAATGCAGCTCTCTTCCTGAGCTTTGATTAAGGATGAATCTGGAAAACATCATCCTCAGCAAACTGACACAAGAACAGAAAATGAAACACCGCATATTCTCACTCATAGGTGGGTGATGAAAAATGAGAACACATGGACACAGAAAGGGGAGTACTAAACACTGGGGTCTATTGGGGGGAAAAGGGGAGGGCCAGTGGGAGGGGGAGGTGGGGAGGGATAGCCTGGGGAGAAATGCCAAATGTGGGTGAAGGGGAGAAGAAAAGCAAAGCACACTGCCATGTGTGTACCTACGCAACTGTCTTGCATGCTCTGCTCATGTACCCCAAAACCTATAATCCAATAAAAAAAAAAAAAAAAAAAAAAAAAAAAAAAAAAGAAGGAGCCTGGCCTCTTCAGGAGCGATCATACCCCCTTTCCCTTCAGAGGAATGTGCTAATGAACCAGTTAAAGTTGTCTATCCAAGCAAAGACTCCCTCTCCACTCTGTTTTCCTCTCTGTGTTATTTAATTTAAAATGATTTCAGAGTTTTAAGGATCATGTGAGACAACACATGTAAGGTGCTGGCTCCTGTAATCCCAACTACTTGGGAGGTTGAGGCAGGAGAATTGCTTGAATCCAGGAGGCAGAGGTTGCAGAATTATGGCCTGAAAGTGGTCTGTTGACTGTCTTCCTCTCCCAGCCTCCTCATTTTTTTCCGTTTTGGCTTCAGTGAGCTCCAAACAAGACTCCTCTCTCTCTTGTCTTTTAGCTTAAACTCATTCAGCCTTTTACATTCTCTGTTTTCCAAAGTCTGAACTCTACCAACCTAACTAGAAGGGAAAAGACTGATACATCGATAACACATTCTGATTAATAATGTAGGACATGTTACTCAAATAAGCTACAATGCCATTTTGGACTGGGTAATTGTTTGTGGTAGGTGGTTATCCTGGGCATTGCAGGATGCTCAGCCGACTCCCTGGCCGATGCCAGCACAACCCCACCCTATGTGTAACAACCAGAAGCATCATCAGATATTGTCCAATGTCTCTTGATGGCGGGAGAACAAAATCCCCTCACATCCATGTTGAGAACCACTGACCTAGGAGCAAAAGGATTTTTTTTGTGTTCTGTGTAAAGGCAGGTGTATGAGAAACAAAACGATATTTTCTTTAAATCAATTTCTAAACTTTTGTTAAAATTTTAAATTGTGATATAAAACACATATAATTCATTATCTTAACCACTTTTTAGTGTACAGATCACTAGTATTCATTATGTTCACATTGTTATATAACAGACCTCTAGAACTTTCCTGTCTTGCAAAACTGAAACTCTATACACATTGAACAACTACTCTTCTCCTTCCTGCTCCTAGTCCCTGGGAACCACCGTCCTACTCTCAGTTCCACATTCGCTCTGTGTCTACTTTGGACTCCTCATATGAGAGGAATCATAGAGTATTTGTCTTTTTGTGATGGCTTATTTTACTAGCATGAAATCTTCAAGTTTCATCCGTGTTGTAGCACATGATAGGATTTCCTTCTTTTGTAAGGCTCATGAATGTTTCATTGTAGATCTATACCACATTTTCTTTATTTATCCATTGATGGACATTTGGGTTGCTTCCACCTCTGGCTATTATGAATAATGCCATAATAAATATGAGTGTACAAATACCTTTACAAGATCATGTAACTCATAGATCTTTCTTTCTCCTTCCTTCCTTCCTTCCTTCCTTCCTTCCTTCCTTCCTTCCTTCCTTCCTTCCTTCCTTCCTTCCTTCCTTCTTTCTTTTTGTTTTAGATGGAGTCTTGCTTTGTCACCCAGGCTGGAATGCAGTGGCACGATCTCAGTTCACCACAACCTCTGCCTCCTGGATTCAAGCAATTCTCCTGCCTCAGACTCCCAAGTAGTTGGGATTACAGGCACCAGCCACCACACCCAGCTAATTTTTGTATTTTTAGTAGCGACGGGGTTTCCCTGTGTTGGCCAGGCTGGTCTTGAACTCCTGACCTCATGATCTGCTTGCCTCAAACCCCTAAGGTGCTGGGATTACAGGTGTGAGCCACCGCACCCAGCCAATATTTTAATACTTTAGTTTCTGGAGATTCATTGTGTTCCTTTTGTTGGGCCATGTTTTCTTGCTTCTCTGTATGCCTTGTGGTCTTTCACTGCGATTTGGGTATTTGAAAAAGAAACACTGACCTTCTCCAGTCATTACAAACTGACCTCATGTAGTAGAAGACCTTTATTGATTAGCATAGCTAGAGATTCTGGGGGCCCTTCAAACTTTTTCTGGGCTTGTGTATGTAATTTTCTAGTAAAAGAGTTTTGC